CGGTGCCAGGGACCCCCGGGACGCCCAGCTGGGCGCGGGGGCATCACCCTCCACTCACAGAGGGGCGATTCAGGCCAGCAATGCGGCTGCAGCTGGTTCTTTATTCCCCAGGTCTTTATTCCGGGTCCCGGGTCCCTTTCCCAAAGCCAATCCGTGCCCCGCGCGAGCCACGAACGAGACAGGCTGGGGAGCCCGAAATCCCTCAGCGATGTGTGCTCACTCCTGGGGACGGACAGCGGTGATGGCACCCACCCGAAAAGGATTTTTACCCCGTCATCCCAGCCCGTCTTAGCTCCTTGTTCGGGGCGATGCGCTGGATCCACGATGTTATTGCACTTTTTTTTTTTAATGAGTAAATAGACACTTCGCAGGCAAGTCTAACTCTTCAGCCTGGCCTGGTCATGACTAACAACCTTGTCTTGTGTAAGGATTTCCTCTGAAAAAAGAAACCCTGAATAAGGAACCGACTTCAGTCTCATAGGCCCGGATATCTTAGGGTGGGGGGGACCCAGGGTGGGATGGACTCGGAGAAGCTTTCCCATGCAAGACCATCTTCCTCAGGTCTTGCCTTCAAAGGCTCATACAGCTCCACCCCAGCTATGCAGTCTGCCCAGCCAAAGAGACCACCCTCAGAAACCCTTGCCTCCATGGGCAGGTCTAAGATTTTGGGAAAGTGGGTGCCAGTACATCATCACCTATGACACAATGCATATTTTTTTTTCTCCAGTGAGAGAGAAACCAGATGCTTTCCTAATAAGAAGGGAGACTGGGGGACTGTTAGCAGAACTGAAACGGTAGGAGCAACAGTTATATCTTTTTTAGGAGGGATCAAATGGGCAAAAAGGATGGGGGGCGGGATTTGTATTCTGTCAAAAAGTGGCATTACCTGTTCCCAAGTCTCAAAAACAAATGATCTTAAAAGCTGATGGGTCACTGTTTTAACAGATAAGTCTCACAATGAGATACTAGTTGATGTCTGCTACAGACCACCAAATCACACTAGAGAATATGATGATCAGCTCCTTAAGGACCCACCTATAATGTGCAGGGGGGGGATAGTCTTCTCGTGGATTTTAGTCTGAGTGACATTTGCTGCATACTACAACTTTGCTTCATACTACAACATTTGCTTCATACTACAACATTTTGGTTTTTCTAAGTATTATAGATAACACTTTTTGAGTTAGAAATTGGTGCATCCAACACAGGGGAATTTTATATTAGACCTTATCTTGACAGATAAAAAGGAATTGATCACAAAACTAAAAATTAGTGGTCACTTAGGCACAAAGGATCGTGACTTGATTACATTTGTTATGGGTAAACAGAATTAAGTCCAAACTAGTAATATACATACTTTAAAAGAACCTATTTCAGAAAGGTAAAAACTGATATGCTAAGTCAGTTAGGAGAACAAATTTAGACAGAAAAATATGGTTTATAACTGGTCACTGTTTAAGAACATTTTACTGGATGCCCTCACAAATATAATAATCCCACAACTAAGAAAGAAGAATACACTGATTAAAAGTAATCTTGGCTTAAAGGAAAAGCAGGTATTAAAAAAAAAACGCACTTCAATAATATATGTAACAAATTGAAGACACCGAATTGTAGAAATGGGTAAGTGAATCAGAAAGATACAAAGGGAATTATATGGTTAGCAAAGACAATAAAAAAGCATTATTTGAAGTATACTAGAAAGAAAAAATACTTTAAAAATGGTTTGGGTCCATTACTTGAAGAAAATGGTAGAATTGTCAGTGATCATCCATTTTTTTCTGCACTTCCTTGATAAATACATCTGGTCTGTATTAGAGAAAAAGTCAGAGGATGCAGTTGTATCGTAAAATGATGATAGACTTTTTATTCTCACAGTAAGGTGGATGTTAAGTTGTAAATGACTAAAGCTAGCCTAAAAGCTTGCTCAACAGCTCTCCCAACTATACAGCTGACCTAATAAAAAAAGATAGCACAAAAAAATCCTTGCCTCATACATCTCCTGGTCCATCACAGCTACAACAACACTCCAACCCTATTACAAGAGCTAGACATTTTTAAATTAGCAGATTCAGATAACTTGTAAGGAAGAGTTTTGACCAAGTTGACTAAGGAGCTCTCTGGACTGTTCCTACTAATTCTGAATAAGTCTTGGAACCACAGGGAAGTTACAGAAGACTGGAAGGAAGTCAAAGAGGTGTCATATTTTAAAAAGGTAAATGTGGTGATGTGGTTAATTATAGGCCTACTATAATGTCATAGATCTCCTTGGAAAACCAATGAAACAACAGATGTTAAACTCAGTAAACAAAGAATTAAAAGAGGATATATACTCCATATGAATTTGTGTTAACAGAAAATAGATCCTAGAAAACTGATGTGATATCTTTTTGTTGAGATTGCAATTTTGATTGAAAAAGATAATATTATTGATGTCACATAATTAGGCTTCTGTAAGGTATGCAACTTAGTATAACAAGGTAGTCTGCATAGGCCACTATGATAAAAATAATTATTAAATGGATTAAACACAGGTTAGCCCATAGGTCTAAAGATGTAAATGGGGAAATCATCACAAAATGGGATTTTTTCTGTGGGGCTGGCAAGGAGCAGTTTTTGGCCCTACACTGTTTTATGTTTCTATCAATATTCTGGAAGCAGACATTTGAAAAAAAGTCACTGGTGACAAAGCTTGCAGATGACACAAAGGCTGAGGGAGCGTGTAAGCAGGTTAGTAAGCCTGTTGTCTTTTCATAGCCTGGACCTACCCCCAGGGGGCTCTTCTGTTTGTCTTTTCAAAATGCAAACTCAGTCCTTACTCACAAATATAAATCAGAACCACAAAACTGACAGCCCTTTGCTGGGCTAAAGGATAAGCTCTTTTTAGCCTGCCCCTTCCTAGTATCAAGCTTGTCTGGATTCAGTTGGTCTCCTGCTCATGGACTACTTCTTCCCCCTAGCTCAAGCTCCCCGCTTTCTCTCTGCCACCCCTCCCTGGTGCCAAAATCCCAAGCCCCGCACAGTGCATCGGAACTGGGCCATGGCTCTTCCCCCGCATGGCCAGATGAGGTTTGGACCACATCCTCTTTCCTCTCCACAGCTGGGCTGGGGTTTGCCTGAGCCTCCTCCTCACTGGACTGGGCCATGCCCTGCCCCCTGCACAGTTGTTTCCAGGCCAGGCCATGTTTCCATCTCTCTGTATGGGTTCAGGACATGCCCCCTTCCCTCTGCCTGGCCAGGAAGGGGTGGACCATGCCCCTTTCCTCCCATAGGGCTGGGCAGTGCCATCTCCCCTGTGGCGGAGCTGGGTCATGCCTCCTCTACCCCTTGCTGAGCCAGACTGGGGGCAGGCCAAGCCCCTTTTCCCTGTTCAGCTGGAGCAGGGCTGAGCTGCCCCCTGTCCTCTCCCACACAGCCAGATGGGGCTCCACCGTGTATGCTCTGGGTGCCACATTGTGCCCACTAGCTGGATCTGGCCCATGGAAGGACAAGACACTGCGCATCCAGCCTCATGGACAACAAAATTGAGCAAAAAGGATGGGAGGGTGGCGGGGCAGGGGGACTTCTCCCCTGGGAAGGACATGGGAATGATGGTGGGTAGCTAGCTACCTAAACATCAGCTCATAGTGTGCCCCTATAGCCCAAAATCTTGGCTATATAAACAGAAATAGAGTAGAATTTGAGAGGTTATATAACCTCTCTTACTGCAATACTGTGCTAAGTCTGGTGTGCAAAATTCAAGAAGGCTGTGTTGACATGGTAGAAAACATTCTGAGAAAAGTCACAAGAATGATTAAAGATTTGAAAGCATGTCTTTTACAGATAGATTTGAGGAGCTCAATCTGTTTATCTTAAAGGGAATGTTAAGGGATGACTTGATCCCAGGCAATAAGTACCTACTTACATGGGGCATGAAAATTTGACAGCTTTCAGCCTAGCAGGCAAAGATATAATAAGATCTAATAGCTGTAAGTTGAATCTAGAAAAATTCAAGATAGAAATATGACACAGAGTGAGGGGTAATTGACCATTAGAACAATTTACTAAGGATTGTATTGGATTCTCTATCAGTGGCAATTTTAAATATCAAGATTCTACTTTTTTCTAAAAAATATATTCTAATTCAGTCAGAAATTACATCAGTGAAGTCTTACAATCTTTGTGACTCAGAATGTCAGATGAAATGATCACAACGGTTCTTCCTCTGTTCCTAATTTATGAGTATAACACTGAGATTCACAAATGACCCTTTACAGATAGATGTCTGTGCCTACTAGAAACTAATGAAGAGGCACCCATCCAAAGCCATTTGCATGATTAGAGTCA